CTTCACATGTCTATCTCCTTAAGCTTCAACTTCCCTCAACCACATGAATAGATCCATGTTCACTGTTTACAAACTCTTCTAACCGCTGACTCTGCCTGATCTCGCTATCGATTCATAACATGATTAACCTGAGCCCATTATTTCCTCCATATAGTTGAAGTCCATCATCCATCCATTTAAATCCCTATAATTGGATTTCCCTCACATCTTTGATCCTAACTGAACTCTTGGTCTTGAGCCATCTGTCCGACTTGAGCCCTCTAGTGGTCAAACTTATAATAACTGTAATCTTTCACCCTCTTAATACTTGACCTCTGAATAGGGGTATCAAAATTAGGTTGCGAATTGGGTTCAGGATGAACTTGATATTGACCCATTTATATTCGACATGATATGAACTCGACTCATTTTTGCAAATGAGTCTGATTTTACAACCTAGACCAGACCCACCAAAAACCTATGTCAACCCAACCCGACACGACTAACCAGAGCTGGGCAAAAATCACAGGAGGACGCTCGAGGGAAGAAATTGTAGGTGAACTCCAACTTAGAGTTCACAATCACAACTCACTTAAATGCCTCAGACCTTAATATTCATTACGACTCTGTCACCAACCCTAATTGTCCCCATCGAAGTTTGTGAGGTTAAACGTTACAGGTCAAAGCCTCGATAACACCATGCCTATTGGATGCCAAGCCGTAGTTACTCATAGGAAGATCTTGATCCCCTCGATGATGCTCCTCTGCCATAAGAACAAAGAAGAAAACCCTTTAATCAAGAGAAAAGTAAAGATGGCCTTATTAGTGGAGATTTCCACTAAAACACACTGTCGTAGTTGTTGGAAATGATATCACTGATTAGAGAAGAAGGATGGCAGAATCAAGAGATCGAATTTTAATTTTGGATATAGAGGTTTTTCTATGGGATTTGTTACTTTAAGAAGAGCATTAAGTCAGAGGAGAGGACTAAAGACGTAGTAGAATGAGAAAAGAAAAATGGATTAGGTAGCCTGAGTGAGTTGAGTGAGGAAGTTGAGTAAAATCTTGGTAATTCTCAGGTTTCTAAGTCAACATAAATTTGACCCAATTTTTAAAACAGGTTGATTTGTTGAACTCGAACCTGACCCATATGACAAACCCATAATTTTTGGGTCTGGTTTTCAAGTCTTGTAAAATATTGACACCCCAACCTCCGAAAATCCAAGCCCATTTAAGCTCCCGATCTGATCCTTTTCAACAACATAAAGTTAAAGACCCTATCAAATCCCAGTTTCACTAACCTCAGTAGTGCATAATCTCCCCTCTTGCGATCGATCTCCCTCACATCCAAATGACAACCAAGTAATTTCTCTCTCTATTAAGTTTATATTAGCATTAATAATATTTATTATTATTTATATTATTAGTATTATTATTATTAAATTTAGGAAACATAAAGAGAGAGAAGAAAATTAAAAAAAAAAGAAAGGAAAAGAAAATGGAAAAGTTAAAAAAAAAAAGAAGAAAAAAGAAAGATATTTTTTGTGCATTTTTATTGTCGTTGTCGCCCCAACGCCACCATCACCGTCATCACCGGCGCTCTAGCCACTGATCCCCTCATGAAGGTATAATCCTCTAAACTCAAAACTATGTCCTCGGTGCTCGTGGCACACAGGGAAATCACATATACATCCTTTTCTTAGCGTGGTAGGAGGGAACCTAGTGCGACACTTACGGTGAGGCTGGTAGACCTTATACACACTTTTTTTAGTATGATGGGGATAATTAAAGTCATTCAATAGGTACATAGAAGACCAATACACACCTTTTTTGGCATGATGGGATCAAAGACCATGGTTGCAGTTTCACTTGACACCTAACATACACATTTTTTAGCATGGTGGAAAGACCTAGCACCCCAAATTTCTCCTAAACAAGAAAGATGTCAAGAGGCTGTCAAAATCAAGAACAAAAATTCTCAAATCTCAAATAAATAGCAGAGGACCAAATTTAAATAAATGTAGGGAATAGAATTTGAACTGAACAGCAAGGAATCGAACCAACCTAAACTTTAGAAATGCACAATCAAATTAAAAATTCAAATACTAAATGATAATTCAAGTCATTCAAACAAAGATGAATGAGCAATCAGGGGGATTGTGGTGGGAAACCTTCATCAATTGCAAGAAAACATCAACGAGCGACATAAGCAAATATATGAAGTATAATATATAATAAATGTAATCATCCATTGACAGTTCACCAATATTTAATAGCTAATAGCTCTTGAAAACTTTGTGTTGGGCTACAAGTAGTGCTGAATGAAGCTTGCATTATATGATAAACTGAAGACAAATAAAACTAATAGTATCCAAATTGAGCCTTTGGTCTCATTAGATTATGATACCTCATCTATCACAAAATCATCTCATGCAATTTAGATGTTCTCATTTAGTAAAAATAAGGATTGAATAATTTGTGGACTCAATCTCTTTAAGGGTGAGAAGAGTAATACAGATGAAGGCTTGAGATTACTAAGGCATTAGCTTTGAAGGCACAAACTATTATTCACCATACATTATTCCTTAATGTTATTGCTGCCGATGATCTGCAAATGTTGTATAAAAATGCATTGTTAAAACATGACATCGGATCCACAACACTCGCACATGTGTACATAAGTCATTTATAGCTAGGCCCTTAAAAACAACACTTACACATTTTCTAAATAATCATCACCTGTAAAACCAGTTATGGTTGAATATTATAGAAAGCCACCCATGCATTGAAATATGCATTGAAGTAGTCACATCATGTATATACACATTACAAAATATAAAATACATCATACAAAATATATCATGCAAAATGCATCTTGCAAAATGGATATAAAAGTATATACCTACATGGGCCATGTCGAGCATGTAGTATGACGCATGTGATGTTTAAGGATACTACGCACGTTAAACAATAAATTAAGTTCAGGCCCTATCCTCCTATGTGAGCATATAGGATTTTACATGACATGAACTATCAAATAAATATACGATCACTATGTTGACCGAAATATATATTTTATGCATTTATATTAGGCCTTTAAGGTCTATAACAAGAAAATTTCACAAACAAAGGTACAAAATCAATAACGAACATGATCCACTGTTAACAAGTAGATAGAGTTGACAAGGATTAAAAGAGAAGATAAAATTGCCCATAAATATACTGATGATGGTCATGTTAAAAAAGATCTCAACCGAATGGGACAACAAACATTTAAAATTCCTCCAAATTTCTATAAAAAATCAAAACATGAACTTTGCCAAAATATAAAATATTTAAATTTAAAATAAAGCACCAAACTCCTTAAAAAAATTTCCAATCCATCATCCGTAATAATTCGTCGAGGTGGACAAGCTTTAAAAGCACTTCAACTCATAAAGAGAAAATGTATGGTTGAAAATATCACTAGGATTCATTCTCAATCTCTCTCTTGCTAGTAAAGATGTGGCATGTGTCCTCTAACCAGTAGTTTCACTGCTAAATGACACCACATGTAAACAGTTATGATCGGGACCCTCTAACCAAGTGGTTTTGCCACTAAATGGCAGCATTAAATTACGATCATGATCAGAACCCGTATGTTCCTCAATGATTTCAAATCATATAGTAATGAATCAATAGGATATGATCGATAGGGCATAAAACCCTATATTAGCTAAGGTGGATTTAAATTTGTCTCATCAGATAAATATTCACCCTAAATTTATAAGGTACCCTTGAACGAAGCAACTCATGGCTACTAACAAGTATCTTTCAGCCAGGTTGGTTCGACTATCACCTCTGACTAAGTAGACTATGAACCATGATGAACTGGGATAACAGAACCATAAGATCTTGACCAGGTTCATCATTAGTCCCCCCCCCCCCCCCCCCCCCCCCTTATGCACAAGACCATCTGCTTTAAGTGCAAGGTGATACATTTTCAATTTTAAATATTAAATTCCAAAACCAAATCATGCTGCTACTATACACCATATACTACGTATATGTTTGACAACTAGCCTTAATCAAAAGTTCTCTCTCGTTATCGGGAGAGGTAATTAACTCTAAAAGAAACTTGAACTCAGATTATAAAGTCGTCACAAAATGAGGGCGAAATCTCTCGATAAAGTCTTAATTCAAAACCCAATATGCCTTCTGAAAATTTACCTCGGAACTTACTCGTTAAAACTCTCCTCGACGACCCGAAGAAAAAGATAAAGGGGCCTCGGAGAGGCCAGGTGCAAATTTTTGAAGCCCACAATATGTTCTTCCACAAAACCTATCCCAAACAAGTAAGCATTCTAAAAATATTGCTTAAGATTTTTGTACTTAATTAGGGATTCATTGGGGTAGCTTTCTTATTTATTCCTAAAGCAGCTTTTTAGTACAAAAATTTCTAGTTAAAAAAAAATTTATACTAAAAAGTTAACTTAAAAAGCAGCAAAGAAAATGACTCAAACAAAGCCTAGATTACATATTACATCATTCACAAATCTTAGTATAGATAAATCCAAATATAATCATGCTAGTGATATCAAATATAGATTACATTTTTTTTCTTCAAAAAAAAAAAAAAAAAA